TATTTTCTAATTAAAATTGTTAAAAAAAATAATAAATATTTTTATAAATAAATCTTTTTTGTGATTAGTTTGGATACGAGAACATATTATTGACAGGAAAATCGTATAGAAAGTTAGATTAAGAAAGGAATGATTCGATTCTTTGCTTAAAGGGAAACTCAGCTTGAAGAAATCCATCATCGAAAGTTATCATAGGAATCAATACACCTAAAAAAGCAACTAAAATATTCGCTGCAGTAAGAAAATTGAATCATTTTGCGGATTGGATTTTACTATTGAACTATAAATTATAGTTTATCGTGTTAAACAATAAAAAAATATACATGCATTCTTAACTTATTATTAAATAAAATATTGCTTTTATTTAATTATATATAAGGAAAAAGAAAAATTTAATATATAAAATTTTCTAGTTTGAATATTTTCATATACTTTTACCTTTCTTATCTGTCTGAGTTTATAGATTATCATTGCTTATTTTAAAATCGTATATCTAAAAATGTAAATAGAAAAATGATCTTGATAAATAATCATTATTCAAACTTTCTTAGAGACCCAATAGGAATTGTATTCAGAAAAATCACGAAAAAATAAAAATATAGTTTAAANCATAAAATGATCGGAATTTAATTTTCGTTAAATCATTCTTTCCTGTAATAGAGATGTGTTATGTGGCACAGACGACTTTCAGGGGTTATCAAAGAACACGATCATAACATTACTTCTGGAAATGTTTATTTTTAATTAAAATGTCTATATATTAAATTTTATGTACGAGATAGTTTGTAGTTTTTAATGCAATAATTATATTTGTTATCTAGCGAATAATTATAACAAATATTACAAAATTGAAAAAATTATCATTAGTTTTAAGATTTACAAATATTTTAGTTATTTTTAGTGCCTTTTTTTTAGTAAAATTTAACAAAACATCAAAATGCTATATTGATAATAATTATACATTTAAATAATTAGAATTATATATATTCACACACACGTATATAAATATATTTATTATTAAAAAATAAGGAAAAATATTTCATAATTTTGATTCAAATTGCTTACAACTTTTAAAATTTATTAATATTTAAATAATTAAGTCTTTCATTTAATTTATATAAACAAAATCATATCAATAAAATAAGTGACATTTAAATAAATTGTTATGCATTCCATAGCTAATCAATCATTCAGTTGATTTGGATAAGTTGAAAACTACCCAATTGTAATTATGCAACTTGGGCCATATGATTAATATCAGAGCGTGTCGTGTGGAAAATCCAATTATGTGTATTGTAGAGATCCTAATATCAACTATCTTCTCCTGTCACCTTGGTCGATGTCGTTTGTGGATATGTGACAGGAATTGGCGACAATTGCCATTCCCTCAGCAAATGCTTCTAAATCGATCTAAATGATTAAATGTTTAATTTACGATTAAAAATCGATTATCTTTCGTTATTAGCTATTCTTTTAAGCTATCTCTTTAAATTTAAATGGTTTTATCTCATCTGTATCATTCAAACGTTAATATCAATTAAAAGTAAAATAATAAATTATCCTCAGATGAAAAAGAAGTACAAAAAAAGACAAAAAAAAATATATCTTAAGAAGTTTAATTAAATTTTAAAATTAAATACTGTAAATGAAATTCTTTACAAATAAATAAAATTTCTAGATATTATTTTAGTATATTAATTAATTATTTTTTAAAAAAGTTATACTGTATTTTTTAATAATTTAATATTTTAATAAACATTTTTCAAAATCAGAAATTAAAATTTTTCTTAAATAAGTAAATATTTTGAAAAAAATAGTGTTTAAAATGCCATTAATTAAGATAAAATATAATATTTCATTTCTATTTTAAATAATAGACTTTATTCATTTTTAATATTAAAAATTAATTAAATTAAAGTTATAAAATATAGATACTTTATTAAATAGATAAACTAAAAATTGATTTTTATTAAAATTAAGTCATTAACCAGTGATAATTTGTTATATTCTAAAATTCTGATAAACATTTTGTTTTAGTTTTCCTAATTACATGTTTACAGTAAGTGAACTTTAATTATATACAGGAAAACTTTTAAATTATTTTATATGAAAATTACCTTAATAATCTTTTTACAGCTTAACATTATATAATAAAATGCTCAAACATTATTTTTAAAAGAAAATTATTTACTAATATATTTATCTGGAACTAAAATAATTGTATAATATTGATATTAAATAGCATTTAAGAATTTATTTCTCAATAGATAAATGATTCATTTTAAATTTATTGGATTATTTATTTTTATGTACATCCATTTTATGAAACTGAAATGTAGAATTAAGATAAATAATGGCCAATAAAATAATAATAATAATAATAATAATAATATAGAACAACAAGTCTTAAATAATAATTTTATATTATTTAGAAAGTTGTTAAATATATAATCATATTTTTACTCTTGAACTTTTTCAAGATTGATTTAAAATGAAAAAAAATTACTGCATTATGAATATGATATATAAAGCTTAAAGTAAAATTGTTTTTCTGTATTTTGCAATCTAAAAATAATTTACAGAATATAAAATATATAAAAATGATTTTATAAACGATAATTTTCTTCAATATTCTGCATCATTATTTTATGACATTACAGCTTTATTTAATTTTTTTATAAATAATGTTCAAATAAAATTTGATTTTATAAAAATAATTATGAAAAATATTTATATATAAAAAAAGTAAATTTAAATATGACATTTTCCTATATTTTAATGTTAATAATTAGTTTGATAAAAATAAAGTCTAACTAAGTTCAAGACAAAAAATATAGATTTATCTAGAATCTCGTCATCTCGACTTCAATTTCATATTTTTCTTACTGTTGGGTATGATCCAAGAGTAATGACTGTTTTTATGAAACAATAACATTTACAAAAATTTTAAAACTCGATATCATAATAAATAAATTCAATATTTTATTTTAATTTGTTTTTTATTTCTTCAAATTACAAAAATATTTTTTGCTGTTCTTTAATTAATTAAAGAATAAAGAAAAGATAAGAAATTTTATAATTAATCCAGCTTAATTAATTTTAACTTTGTTAATTTTTTAAAACAGTTAAGACAGTTAAAATCTGCAGACAAACAAAATAAAATTGGTAAAGAAATTTATCACAGAGTATAATTTAATGAATAATAAATAAACAAATACTGTTATTAGTGTATAAATATATACACATATATTCATTTTTTATTTTAAATAAATATTTTATATTTTATTGATTTCTTACTAAATAAAATTAACTATTCTTGTATATCATGACTAGTTGAAAGATTTAACATCAAAAATAATGAAAAATTGAAATAAATGTATTTACTTTTATGTACTTTATTACTAAATGCGCTTAAATTTAAATAATTTATCAAAAATTATTTTAAAAAGTAGACAATAATTTAATTATTATCAAAAACAATTTATGTAGCTATCATCGTTAATTCAAAAGGGAAAAAAATGCTCTTTTAAAATTTATTTTATATGCATTTAAATATTTGGCGCCAGTTTATCAAAAATAGGGCAAAAAGAAGAAATATATAAGCTAAGATAAAGGTTAAAAGGTTAAAAACAGTGTTTAATATTATCTTTAATATTTATATTTTTTAATATTGTTACAGGTGAAAGGGATGAAAGGAATTTTTATCGTTTAGTAAACATATTAAGTAATTTAAATTTATTAAAACTTTTATAAGTTATTTGTGTTCTTTAATAGGGTTTATTTTTCATATCAAATAAATCTCTTAAACTGGAAATGGAAAAAATAAAACGTTTATAGTATCTCGTTTCTCATAACATATAAGCTGTAACTAGAAAAAAAAGAGTAAAATTTTATGAGAAAACAACTTAAAAATTATTTTTAAAAATATTCTCTTACTAAAAGATATATATTTCCCGTATAGAAAGCAAAGTTTTAAAAATAAATTAACAAATCTGATTAGAGGATATAGTAGAAGATAAAGTTAATTAAAGATTGATGTATGACTCTTATTTCATTGATTACATCTTACTGATTCATTTCATCAAAGTTTAAAGCCATTGAAAACAAGGGAAAGTTAATAATTACTACAATCAGTACTTAATTTTGGCGTGGCTAATGAAATTCATTAATATAAGCACCGGTCATTATTTTTATATATCGAAAACTAGAAAATAACGCACGATAATAAAACAGTTTTACTAAATTAAGAGAAGATAAATGAATATGTTAAAAAAAAGAAACAGGCAGTTAAGAATGTGGATTTATTTTTAAAGCCTTAAACCTGTTAATTCTTTAAAAAAAAACATTAATTTTACTAAAATAAAATTGATAAAACATGAGGTAGATCATGGTATCAATTTGCTTCTGATAAATTTCATTGAAAATGCGTTAAAGTAAATAAAAATTTTAAAAAATTGATTGCAATTATAAGAAATATATCTAAAAGAAAAGAAAAAAACTTCTTAAGTAATCAGGAATGCTAGAAAATGAGGTAAAAGCTCTAGAGATGGAGAATATTTTTTAATTTTATTTTTTTCGGAAGGGAGCTCGTACGCAACATCAGAAATTATCAATTTAACTTTTTATCACGTAAGAAAGGAAAATTTTAAAAAAATATTTTTTACGTGTCAAACAATCTCTTCTATAGACAAAAAGATAAATAAACTAAGAAAAACATTTAAAACAAAGTAAAAACGATCTAAAACACGATTAAAAATGACACACGCTCCTCTATATTTATACACAGAAAAAGAATTTAAAATAAAAAAAAATAACAACGATACGAACAATTACAGATTTTTAGAAAAGGGCAAAAGTAAAAATAAAAAAAAAAAAGTTAACTAAAAGAGTAAATTCATTCAGTAGAAACTCCACAAATGTATTGCAGTTCATCGATTCCCTCCTATTTATCGTCACCCCCTCTCTGCATTCGACAAATCGACCGGTCTGCTAGTGACGTCAGATACCGTCATGGCGGACGTTGTCGGTTTACGAGTTAGTTGTAAAGCAGGAGGAATTCTGACGTTAAGAATTACTAATCTCACGCTGGAACACAAGGATTCGGCCATCATGTAAACTTCACCCCTCAATATAACAATACTTAAGATATTTTAATAGTTAATTACTGTTAGAAGAGAGTAAAGCATGTCTCTCTTATGTGTAACTGGTGAGTCCTTTTTAAAGGTTTTTATTTTTTAAAGTCCTTTTTACTTTTTTATAATAAAATTAATAAAAAAATCCATTATTCTAACTGATACATTAACTTATTCCCGTTTGGATTACTTAAAAGATTTATATATGTTGCAATAATTATTTAAATATCATAAAAAGAGTTTTATCCATTTATAGAACATCTCTATAGTAGTTTATCGTATAGTGGTCACACCCATATTTCGTCCCTGTACGAAAAAAAAAAATGCAGAAAAATCCATGCGGGCAATGAACTTTTTTGAAAAATGATAAACATCTCATCGTGAAATCCTACACGATCGCAATACTAAGACCTACTTTTATCAATGTTTTTTTAATCGCTATGCGTGCTATAAAAATGAATATTATATCAAAATGATGAAGCAATTATAAAGGAAAACTTACTCAACTACTACATCATATTCCGCGTGATACAAGCTTACGTAATTCGAATTTATCACTAGCATTAATATTAATTTTTCCAGTTATCCATAATATCAGTATATAAGAATATATATTTTATTCATAACTGATATAATAGACTGTAATTTAAAAAAAGAACGGTTACTAATAATAGTAAACAAAGGGAAAGGTCGCCTATGAAAAAATTCTATACCTTGTTACGAAATTACCCTTATTTTTGTTTTAATAAAATCGAGGTCAAGTTAGTTCTTTACACATATTCGTTTGTTATGCGAATAGATTAATATAAATGCCATACTTTATCATAGTTAGAGAAAAAAAAGCGAATTAATAAATGTCGAGAAATTAAATAGTTTTCGTGACTTGAACTTTACTGAGTAACGTCCACAGTTTGACATGTAATGTCAAAGCATGCTCATGTGGAATATTGTTTTATACGCAGAAAATTGCTTTATTAATGTTTCTGCCATTGCTGGATTAAGGAATGTAGGACCCTAGACGAAACTTACGACCGGTCCTCCCAAAAAAAACCAATTAAAAATTGTTTTATTAGATTCTCTTGAGAAGGCTAAGAATGTTAATACATTGTTTATTCATTTAAAGTTTTATTTATTTATATATGAATTTAAGGACCTGTCAAGTTGAGGGGCCTAAGGTTGGATTGAGAAGGATACAGAAGAAACAAATAGGGAATCTGCCAACCCCTGCCAACGGGAGAAGTTTCTATGGGAAACTGGTCTCTATTTAGTTGTTAAATACATGAAAAAAATATGGGAAACTGGCCCCTATTTAGGGTGTTAAGCACGTAAAGAAAACTCGGAAAACTAACGTTTGTTCCCGCGACCAGTTACCAGTGTTCAGTGGTTTTATCCACTAGCCCAAGGCCGTAAGCAATTGTTTAGTTTGCCTAGACCTAAGTCTGATACTGGTTTCTTCTATGAGCTTAAAATAGCATTTTTTAAATAAATAATGTTGTTATTATTTATAAAATATATTTAAAAATTTTTGTAAATATTTAAAAAGTATTTTTAAAAATTATTTTTAAAAAATCTATCTGTATTGATTTTGAAGTTTTTTTTTTTTTATATATGAAGTTTGCAGAGAGCTTGTTAAGGAATATTTATATAAGGCTATATGAATATCTGTTTTATACATATATAAATAGATAGATAGAAATTCTTAATATAAAACTCGTCAAAGTAATGTGTAAACAGCGCATATTTGGTATAGAATTTAATATTTGCATATCGAAGGTTTTCGAATAATCCTTAATAAAATGAAAGCCAAGTTGTTTAAGAACGTATATAAATTTTCGAAAATGTCATCGTGTCCTTTATGAATAATTGAACTCTAATTAAAAACTGGTTTTTTCTTCAAATAATGAATTTCAATGTATTATTATTAGCTCGATTTTTTATTAAAATATTAAAAAATTATAATAAAAATTATTAAATTAAAAAATATTCTTTATGAAATATATCATTTCTGCCTTGAAAAATGTTCTAAGTAATTTTTTAGTGTATTATATATTGAGTAAAAAGCCTTTCAAGTTTATNTATTTTATCAGTCTATTAACTTTTAAGTCATATCTTCTTTAATGATGATTACATTTTGTAAAACAAGTTGAGAATAGGTTCCACATTTATGAAAGAATTTATAATGCTGCTTTTATTTGATCATTTGGTCATCATAATCTTAATTTTCATAAAAGTTTATAGTAGATAGACCAATAACTCAACCATTCAGTAGTTAGATGATATTGACAGTTAAAACTAGTAAAACACTATAACATACTATAAAAAAATGACAGCAATACATGCAGAATATTTTAAGAGTTTTAAAATTTATTTATAGTTTTTTTAAATATAATTTTTTTTAATACATTGCAAAGTGAATAATTATAATTTTAATCATTTAGTAACCAGCATATTTTCAATACAAAACTCATTAAAACATTAAAACTAATATTTTAAAAATATTTCAATAGTTTACAATTACACAATGCAGTTTGTGCTTTTTGGTTATGAAATTTTCAGTTTTGCATTTAATAGCATTAATAAAACTAAACCAACAGATGTAGAAAGAATATTTTTATGGTATGATGCTATTATTTATAACAAAAAGTAATAAAGAAAATAAAATTTTTACAAATTACTGCCTCATTTTTGACAATTAGTTTAGAATAATTCTGTTTTAAGGGCAAATTTTCTTTTTTTTCCAAGTTCTTAATATAGAGAAGAT